TGGATGTTGGTATATATCAGAGCAGTGAACTCCGACGTGTGACCGATCTCCATTAAAGTTCACACATCTACGTGTTATTGACCCAGGTTTATGTGCTGTTAATTTTGTTGTAACTTTACTAAATGGCGCTACAGAAAACATTGCGATTATTTTAATACAATTTCCATTCAAATTGCGTTCCACCCGGGCTTTATTGTTGCATTGGCGTGTGACGCTGATCATTGCAGTGGGACGCAGGGCGCGGCCCAGGAGAACCGAAAGGCGCGCGCAAGAGACAGACAAAATGGGACGGAGTGAGACAGAGGGTGGCGTAGAGAGGCGAAGAGAGATGCAGAGAGTCATGGCGGAAGACAGAAAAAGAGAGAGAGAGAGACGGCGCGCGTAAGTATGTGAAAGAGTAAGGGCGAGAGACAGAATGACACAGAATAGAGACACAGCCCGAGAGACACGAACACAGAGTGAGAGGGAGAGGGAGGGAGAGGGAGGGAGGGAGAGAAAGTCGGAGACCTTTTATTTTTCACAAGGGTTGAATGCGAAAGAAACAGGGCAACGCCAGGTATTTTGCTAGTACCCGTACATGCAAACCCGTTCTCTACTCCCGCGAAAAAGTCTGTAGAACCGTATCCCTCCTATCTCGCGATTAGTTGTTTTATTAGCGAACAGTTTTTTAATGTTTAATAGTATTACCATGAAAAACATCATCAGAAAGATGGCGGTTGGCGAATTTGTAAATTAAGAAGTATATTGCAACATGTGAATAATTGGTTGGAATTTCTGAAAGCATTGTGCGTTACTAACAGAGTCCGTGGGTTTTCCAACAATTTGAAAATGTTTAATGTTTTATAAGGATGTATTTAATCCCATAAAATTTATAGCATAAAGAAAATATGGGATAAATTCTAATTTCATTTGAATTCGAGCCTATCATGTATTGATTTATTCCTGAAATTGATAGTAATACTAACAACTAATTGAACGCATATGAACACTTCTCAGCAGGCGGGCAAATGTGCGTTGTATCATGTACGCCCGGTACTGAACATGAGTAAACCACCAATATTGCTAGACTTGAGATTCTCATACCCGTGCGTTATAATAAAAAATATCAATTTATTTTTCTTAAACAATTATAAATTCTGCATTCAGACCATCTGAAGCGTGGAGTGGGTTGCCAGAAGTCAAACTTTCTAAAAATAAACTGACGGCCCAGACATATCTTACCCCTATATAGTATTTGAGTAACAGCGAGTGTGCGTTACGTCATTCACAGTTAGACCACTTTCCTACACCAATTGACACATATGAGTTGTCATTCGATGCGTTTTTGGTCTCTTGGTAGGTAACTTATAATTTGTTTTCGGATCTGATCAGATCAATCTAAGAAATTTCCAAAAACATGTTTTGCGTGTTTTAGCGGTGCTATCCTAGTAGGTTGACCGGAAGTTAAACCAATGCTTTCTAAATAGATGTATGTATGTGTTGTTGATTAAACCCCTGTACCCAGATGCAACTTTCTCTCCGCGACGGCATAATTTTCCTCTACGAAGGTGGCAACACTGATTGTTCTGGAACAAGTGGAGCACGTAGCAGAGCTGTCAATAGTGATGCTACTTTGAATTTAAGAAGAGAAGTGTCTCGTACGTATTACCGTTATATTAATAATAAATTTGCAAACAGCAACATACTGTATTCACTTGGCGTTCAAATATACCCATTACTTGGTATATTTGAACGCCAAGTGAATACGGAGAAAACCGAACTGTGAGTAATGTTAGAGAAAAGAAGCAAATCCGTATTCGACTTAGCACATTCACGTTCTCAAGCGTACAAATACTGGAGAAGAATCACATGTAGTTCTAGAAAATTTTGTGATAAATTTCCGGAACTAATTAAGGATAATCTTATATTAGGATTAGAAAATAACGCTGAAGAACAGCCTACCGGTGGTCTTTTTTGTGATTTTTTGTGCATATTAACGAAAATGTGTAAAAAAATTAGCTACATTAAATTCTAGCTATTCAAATCATCCATACTTGCAAATATTTTTAAGGCGATTACAATTTTGGAGGGAGTATAACATTATCAGCTACTACGATTCATTGCTATGGCCAAAGCCAGAGACTGGGACAATTATTTGAACCAAGCTGTGCATGCCATCTAGAAATTTTCTACAAATGAAAATACTTTTAAAAGATTTTACAGCGTCTGCGACGCCAAATTCAGTTAATTTAGCACGTTTTGGATAAAGAAAGAGTCTTGGAACTCAACCAAACTACATTCGCCGCAAGGTCTTTCCAGAACTTGGCGTGCCTACCTTATTGATCAACATACGAAATGTGTCTACTTTCTAATTGGAAATACACTTAGATGTAATCCTTTTAATTAATATAAATTATTTGCCTAACACGTGTAAAACATTTTAAGTGAATGTATGCGTTAAATTTTGAACTTACTGGGATTATGCCTGAGTTACTATTTCATAAGTTTCACTCTTGCAACGATCCTATTTCCTCATGAAACTAGTATGAGAAATTGATAACTGAAATAATTAAATAATGAATGTACTGTTGTCCTTTTCCAGCGCATGCCAAACTTATTTATCTGTATGATACCTATGAGTAATTAAAGAAACATTAATTCCTTTTTCGCTAAAAAGAAACTACAAAGAGCAGTTAACCAACAACACAATGGCCACTTTCCGAACTATTGTGCTAAAAAACGTTACAACTCAGCGACAACCTTTATAAAATAAACAAGTTTCTCTAACCTAACGATTCTCTCGTGCATTTGCAAAGCAATGACGTTCTACTCCAATTTGTATCTCATTTTGTTGAAGAAAAATGGAGAGAGTTGGAAGTACAAGAAAGAATGTCCATATGGTAAATTAGCGAATATGTACTTCCTTGTTGAAACTGAATTGCGTTCCGGTAGTCTGTAAATTATTTTTTTCCGTACGGTCGTCCTTCAATATTCTCACCATGGCATCAAAATACAAACTATTTAAATATAATTTTTTTATGGTTAGTGCATCCCGGTATGCAGCAGTAACGTCAGTGAAATATTCGAGGATTTGATAGTAGAATGAATAATGCAGTAATCTTTTTTATGATCTTCAGTGACAAAGCCGTTTCGCCATACCTGAGATGAATGATCTGAAGTATTGTTGCCGCAAGTCCGCTTTGCTCTCCATAATTTATATTTGGACTGACAATGTTTTGAATCCCGGACCCATCGGTAGAATGCGCGTTCTCTGATCATTACACTATAAATTGCTCTCAATGAAACAAAATTGTGGTATTTGGTTGGGATCTACATGAATATCAGGGTCTGGTGTTTCTTCTAGTACACCCACAGCCTGTAAGTCGCTTTAAAGGATCAATGTTAGATAAGGCTAAATGTGTGTCATACTTTACAATTCCCATTTTATCATATACTAGTTTCAGGGAGCAATAC